AAGGAAAGGGCAAATTAACAATTTAAATGTGATGTCGTTCTCAAAGTATATTTGCTGGCATATAAAATATAATGCTATATACATGCACAATGTATTGCAGTTTTATGGAGGAATTTTTTGGATAAAAAGTGCTTTTTTATCATGTAATAAATGTGTTAACTCAGACTATTATTTTGTTCAAATAAATATATTACAGTGTGAAAGGAAGTCCTAAGTTCTGATGTACAGTAATAATGCACTAACCTTGAATATAATGTCACATAACTAACCAAAAAATAGTGTTCTAAATGATAACTGATAAATTGGTGGTAACAAAACCAGGAAATTTACTGGAGGTAAAGTCCTATGTCATGCATATTAATGTAAAAAGTTAAATTAATACAGTAATACCTTCTTTTTAGTGCATTTAGGAGATCTAAAAAGTGAACCATAAAATAAATTTGAATGAAATTCTTTTATAGGTTGCTCTACTACATAAACACATACAAACAAAGATTTCAGTGAAAAATGGAAAAAAGTTTTTAAATTTGTGAAAGAATTTCAAGTTAGGCTTCTGTATACTGTAAAAGAAAGTATTTTAATATTTGAATAGAGAGCAGCCAAAGTATTTGAATGAGCTCTTATAAAAACTATGTCAGTGAGAATCATCGTTAAATAATTTAATATAAATAATTATTGATCTTCCTCAAAACAGAAATGTTTATTAATAAAACCCAGTAAATAATTACATCCAAAACCAGAAAGCCATCATCTCACCTCAAATCTAGAGATTCTCTTTATCACTGGCATTCCTTGGATCAGAAATTGAGTCATCATCTTCCAAGTTCTGCTCCAAATCCCAGTGACAACGTTCTGGATATTAAGGTGTTGCATCCATCTTGAACCCAATGCCTTTTTTGCTTTTGAGCCATGAGTTACAGGAGTAATGCAATTACATTTCAAATGCTGGGAGATTAATTTAAACGTTACCTCTAGATCACCTATGTAGCCTGTGGCTTGTTATTTTTGTAAAGTAGTTAATAAATGTGAAGTTTGCTAAAATAGTTTTCCCCCTACACTTTGCCAGGAGGGGAAGATAACTATTTGTGTTCAGTGTTGAGTAGTTGCTCACCTAAGACCTTAAGCCCTCTTACCTATAATATGGGCAATAATGAGTATAAGGTAATTTTTTGATTCTTTAGAAGTAAAAATACATGTTGTAACCTGATAGCTCTGATATTTTCCCTTTTATCAATGTGGTGTTGACTGCCACAAAAGTTCTTGTAATTTTGTGTTACTTTTTGCAGCTCTCTTATTTTCTCTCTTCATTTGAAATCATCATTTTAACAGTGTATGTTTTAGTTTCACTTGGGTTAAAAGGTTGGATCATAAATGGAAAAACAGCAAAGAAATTGCTCAGTAGAACTTGGTTATAAGATGGATAATTCAGATGATGTATGACCCTAAGATATTCCTGTTTGGGCCTCGAGGCTCCTCTGACAACTGCCACACAAGATTTCCTACTCAGGGGAAGGCGGCTATGACTGTGATCTGTTTTTCTTAAGCAAGATATGCTTAAAATGTGGCAGTTGGACCTGAAACATGCAGCAAGTAAGATACACATAGGGTGGTCAGGCATGGTGGCTCATGCCTGTAATCTTACCACTCTGGCAAGCCCAGAGTTCAAGATCAGCCTGAGCAAGAGTGAGACCCATCTATAGAACTAGCTGGGCATTGTGGCAGGTGCCTGTGGTCCCAGCTACTTGGGAGGCTGAGGCAAGAGGATCACGTGGGCTCAGGAGTTTGAGGTTGCTGTGAACTATGATGGCATGGCATAGTCTCACCGAGTGAGACTATGTTTTGAAAAAGAAAGCTAGATATGCTAAAGTTTTGAGCCTTTTCCTACAGATGTCCCATATGTACATCAAGTGAGGACATATAATATATGCATGTTTTCATATTTCAGGAATCATGCTTGCTTGCTTTATATGTTTTTATAAATAGAAAGGGTATCTTGCTCCATAGTGACCTCCCTCCCCCCAAATGGTAGGAACTATTACTGGGTATCATCATGGCCCCATACTTTATGACTGTGGAAGATCAACTATGGGTACATACTCTCAATTCTGGCAGAAGTGGTACAGGAAATAGCTGCACATGCCATTTGATAGCAAATAGGAGTGAACCCTTAAGCTGATATGTGTCCCTTGATTTTCTGCATTCTCCTTCTTAATGTACTTTAAAAAAAGTATGGGTGGGCCAGTGGCTCACAACTCTGGAAGGCCAAAGCAGGTTGATTGCTTGGGCTCAGACGTTCAAGACCAGCCTAAGCCAGAGCGAAACCCCACCTCTACAAAAGATAGAAAAACTAGCAGGTCATAGTGGGCCAGTCACCTGTGATCCCAGCTACTTGGGAGGCAAGAGGATCTCTTGAGCCCAAGAAATTGAGGTTACTGTGAGCTATGATGATGCTGTGGCACTTTACCCAGGGCAACAGAGTAGTCTTAATTTCTTTTTAAAAATCTTAACGCTTAGAATCAACCTAAAATGCATTTTCTTTCTTTTTTTTTTTTTTTTTTAGAGACGGAGTCTCACTCTGTTGTCCTTGATAGAGTGCCCTACACCTCACAGCTCGCAGCAACCTCCATCTCTTGGGCTTAGGCAATTCTCTTGCCTCAGCCTCCCCAGCAGCTGGGAACGCAGGTGCCTGCCACAACGCCCAGCTATTTTTTGGTTGCAGTTTGGCTGAGGATGGGTTTGAACCCTCCACCCTCGGTATATGGGGCTGGCGCCCTACTCACTGAGCCATAGGCGCTGCCCCCTAAAATGCATTTTTATCACTTTATTTTTTCTTGTGTATCATTTTTGATGAAAAAATATTTTGGGCGGTGCCTGTGGCTCAAGGAGTAGGATGCCGGCCCCATATGCCGGAGGTGGTGGGTTCAAACCCAGCCCCGGCCAAAACCACAAAAAAATAAATAAATAAAAAATAATAAAATATATATATATATTTTCCTATTTATTTGAAGGATAATCTCAAAAGTATTGTCTCCCTCTCTGTCTCTCTCTAGATGTGTATACATATATATACACACACACATATATATATACACATACATACACAGCAATGTTAAAACCATAAAAATTGTTTATTTGATGCACATTCCTGGTTAATAAATTTTATTCAGATTTATTTTCTTAGCCTTACATAGAAATGGGTAGATTTAAATTTTCCTTTTAGCTCTATATGCTTCATGATAAATTTAGACCATAATTATGTTTTTAAGAATATAAATTATAATAATACTTAAATTCACTTTTTGTCATAGTGCTACAATACTTACATTATAAAGTGAAAGAAAAAAAGTTTGACATGTTGCTTTGTTGCCTACTTTTAGTAGTGCTATAACAGTTTTGAAATAATGACAAAAATGTAAATGCCAAAAAGAAACATTCGAATTTCTATTCTTTTATGTTCCTTTGAGTTGTTGATCTATAGTAAACTACTCTTCAACTGCATGTTTGTGTTAAAAATATATTTTTAGGAAATAGTTCCATTTCATGTTGAAATGTAACTTGCATTTTAAAGTTTCAGTAAACTAAGATACACACTTGTAAACCATAAAAGGATGTTCTGCTTCAGCAGTGCAAATTTTATGTTTAATTTGGAAAATAAAATCATGCATTTATAAATATTCCACAAATTTTTAATAATAAAATTGTTGATTGCGTTTCTTGCCAGTAAGAGGGAAGAGATTTTGAATTTATATAGTGTAGAGCTGTAAAGGCCCATTCAATTGACTATTTTTGTTTTAAATTTATTGGCAGAATTTGGTTTTGCTCTTTTGGACTGTCTCACCCCCTTGTTAATGCCACCATACAGAGTCAGATCATGTTACTAATCTATTTACTTCAGCAGCGTCCAAGCTTGGTTTTATTGTATGAATACAGAGCATTATGGATTTCTAGCCAGTTGTTAAGGTGTAGATGGTTTTCAAATGATTGTTTTTTAAGGTTTTTGGTTTTGATTTTAGATTCTTATAGTTACAATATTAGAGGGTAAGGGAAAAGAACTTTTGCTCGAAGAGAATATTTAAAGCCGTCAGGGTGTTGGGCGTGTTGGTGCCATGCGCAGTAACATGTAGTAGGTCATAAACTTGAGGAAACACTTCTGATTTTAGTCTGACATGAAAAAGGAATTTAAAGTGTCAGATGAAGGCCTCTTGTAGCTGAAATAATGTATATTTCATTTTTGACCTCTACTTGTGAAGACTTTCACTTTAAAACAATAAAAAATCCATTTACTTGGAGATGCTCTAATTTGTCTGGTTAAAGCCAAGCAGTAACTACAGCAGTGATGATTTCTGAAATATAGTTGAACACTGAGAAAAACGGAACAAATCTGTGATACCCCTTTTACACACACGCGTGGCCTATAACAAAATATTCATACTTGCCAAGATGGAAGCTTGCTACGGCCCTATGCTCTCAAGTCGTATCACTTAACTTCTTCCACAGTTACATTCAAGCATTCAAGGCAAGTGTAAGCAAAAATCATCCATGGAGCTCTTATTTTGAGGTTATTTTGCCAGACTGTCATCCATGTTAGGAGCGGAACGTGTAGCACGAGCCCTCTGCAGCAGCCACATCTCACCACTAGCCTCTGAAGCACACTGCGTAACTGTTCTTTTACAAGTGCAGAAACCCACGTTTGGGAGGGTGACTGCGCCGGGCGCAGCTGCGCAGAGGCTGCTCCGGGATCTCCGCCCAGCTTCAGGTACAAGTCCCATGCATGACGTCACAGGTGGTGGGTGGAGGTGGCTCCGCGGGGTCTGGACACCAGTCTGGCCGGAAGCAGGGCACTGCTCAGGCCGCAGTCAGCCGACCAGCTGTGTGCAGAGCCGGGCGCCGCCCCTCAGGCAGGCCCCGCCCCCTCCCGCACCCCAGCCCTGCCCCACCCCTCCCGGCCGTCGGGTAGCTGTCCCTGCCGCGCGAGGCCGGCGCTGCCGGTGAGTCTCACTTCCCGGTAGCCGGGCTCTGCCAGCGACTGGGCGGGGAGGCGGAGGATGGCAGTGAGCTTATCGGCCATTACCCTCTGTCTTGCCAGCCCCAGCAGCCCTGTGGTGGCCTCAACGATGGACCCGGAGCCAGAGGGCCGTGTGGAGGGAGAAGTGTCAGCGTCGGGAGCTGCGGCCGCGGCGGCATTAGGGGACGCGGCGCGGCAGGTAGGTGGGGCCGCGGAGGCTGAGACCGGGAGAGTCGAGCCATCTTCTTGCTGTGTCCGCGAGCTGCCCTTTTGGCCTGTCTGGTTTTCCTCCTAGCAGGCCGCCCACCAGACGTGATTTCGGGGTGCCTCCTCATCGTACCCCAACTCTGCTCGGTGAAACCGGTTTGTGCAAGGCGCGGACGCCGGCTCCCGGTTGCGGCGCCGCACACTCGCCGCCTTCGCTGGCCGCGCTGCAGCTCTGGGGCGCCCTGGGTTTCTGCCGGGCGTGGGGTGGGGGAATAATTCCAGCGTCTGCTCTGCGAGCCAGAGGAGGAGGCATGTTCCCCCCAACCCCGACGGCGGCTTCAACCAGTTTTCGGTCTCTGGCGCTAGCGCCTGCCTTGGCAGCTGCCCTTTGGTTTCCTAACAGCAACTGTATGCTGAGCGTCTACTGGTTTTAATTAGCTTTACCCTTACAATAACTGCTGGAGGTGGATGTTATCCCCATTTCACCAAGGAGGTAACTAAGTCTCAGAACTGTGCTGTCCAACAGAAATAAAATGTAAGCCCCATTGAAAGTTGCAATGGAAAAATTTCCAGTTAAAAACGTAAAAAGTAATTTTTAATATTGTATCTTATTAAACTCACTTTATCAAAAACATTCCAACCTATAATTAATATGAAAGTTATTAATGAAGTATTTCGTATTCTCGATTTGAGTCTTTTCAGAGACTTTGAAATCCTATGTGTATCTGCTTTTTTTTTTTTTTTTTTGGAGTTCCATGGTTATAGCTCACACAACCTGAAATTCATGGGCTCAAGCGATCCTTCTTGCCTAAGCCTTCTGAGTAGCGGGGACTACAGCTGCCCGCCCACCTAATTCTTTTATTTTTAGTAGAGGCGGCCTCTTGCTCTTGCTCAGGCTGGTCTTGAACTCCTGAGCTCAAGAAATCCACTCTTCTGGGCCTCCCAGAGTGCTAGGATTATAGGCGTCAGCCACCACGCCCTGCCATCCTATCTGTAGTTTATTCCCTAACCATCTCAGGCCCTGCTGGCCACATTTCAACCACATGTGACTAGTGGTTACTGTATCCCACGGTATTGGTTTAGAGAATTGGGTACAGTTTGAGGTTGATTTTGGATGTGGTAGTCTAAATTAGTAGTTTAGGACGTTTAACCAAGTAAAACCAACGATGAAACTGCTTTAACTGAAACTGGCTCAGGAGTATTGAATTTTTTCTTTTAAAGACATGAAGTTGTTGAAATCTCTTCCAACACTCCATGAAAATGAAGCTTTTTCAGTAGCTTCCTTTTTGAGACTAAGTACCTGAATGTTATATAAGATTCTCTTAAAGTACATATAAGCTGTAATGTGCATTAACAAAAACTTTTTCACATACTAGTTTCTACGTGGAATTTCTTGTTTTTTCTTCTGTGTCAGGAAGAGGATCAGGATAACAAGAAGGAATTCAGGAAACAACACTAATTGATTAGGGAACCACTTCATTTTCAGTTGAGACCTGTTGGCAGGTACTCTTGAACTTAACCTTAAAGTCAACAGTGCTTTTTCCATTTGATTTTTCCTTGTATGTTACTAGAATTGTTTTGTCATAACTTCAGCTTTGAATCTCTCTTAATCGCAAAGTAAACATATCTGTACTGATAGATAAATGTTGTTTAAAGAGAGGCTCTTTGTTTTGGTTTTGGTATTGTTATTTTCATATTCTTGATTTAAAAAACAGATATTTAAACAGTAAAGGAGGCTGTAAAGCAAAAGGTAACAATTCACAGGAACACCTCCCATTGCCCTTTCCTCACATTTTCATTCCTGAAAAGTAACTAGTAAGTTTCGTCGTGTTCTCTCTGGGATTTTTCTATGCAAATACTTACTACCTCTTCTCTCTTGTTAAACACAAATGACTATCTCTTTTGTCCCTTTTGCTTTCTTTTTTTTTTTTTTTTGACAGAACCTCAAGCTGTCCCCCTGGGTAGAGTGCCGTGGCATTACAGCTCACAGCCCCCTCCAACTCCTGGACTCAAGAGATTCTCCTGCCTCAGCCTCCCAAGTAGCTGGGACCACAGGCGCCCGCCACAATGCCCGGCTATTTTTTGGTTGCAGCCATCGTTGTTTGGCGGGTCCGGGCTGGGGATTCGAACCCGCCACCTTAGGTGTACGTGGCTGGCGCCTTAGCCGGTTGAGCTATAGGCGCCAAGCCCCTTTTGCTTTCTTATGCATTTTCTAAGGCAGAAATATCTCTGGGAACCCCAGATATACTCTCAGGTAATTTGATCACAGTAAGAGAGAAAAGGCCAGTGCAGTGGAGATTTGGGTGGTGGAGAGGCTTTGGACACTCCTCAAGTTAGGGAAAACTGAGAAATCCCAAGTGCCATGTAGGGAAGGGATAGGAGAATAGGTCTAGAATTAGGTCTCTAACAGACCAGCCAGTACCTCTTGTGACATTCTATCCAGCAGCTTCTCTGAATAGACTTTTAACCAGAACCGCAGCCTCAGTATTATTAAAGGAATTAAAATTTCAGTACAGTTTATTTATTTAGCACCTCTGTTATCGTGGAGGCTAAAGTAACTCCATCTTGGATGCTAATTTGCCATGGTAACTTCTGATAAACCCCTATTTTGGGAATGCCTTTAAGATTTCTTTTTTTTTTTTTTAGAGACAGAGTCTCACTTTGTTACCCTCGATAGAATGCAGTGGTGTCACAGCTTGCAGCAACCTCCAGCTTTTGGGCTTAGGTGATTCTCTTGCCTCAGCCTCCTCTGGGACTACAGGCACTTGCCACAACACCCAGCTATTTTTTGTTGCAGTTTGGCCGGCGCTGCCTGCCTCTAAAATTTCTAATACTTTATCTACTTTCATTACTTCATTTACTTTTTAATCTCCTTTGTTTATTATTAAATCATTAAATCCACAGCTGAGTGCCTGTAGCTCAGTGGGTAGGGCACCAGTCACATACAACAGAGCTGACGGATTTGAACCCAGCCTGGGCCTGCCAAACAACAATGACAACTACAACCAAAAATAGCTGGGCGTTGTGGTGGGCACCTGCAGTCCCAGCTACTTGGGAGGGTGAGGCAAGAGACTCGCTTGCCTGTGGTCCCAGCTACTTGGGAGGCGGAGGCAGGAGACTCACGTGAGCCCAGGAGTTGGAGGTTGCCGTGAGCAGTGAAGCCATAGCACTCTACCCAGGGGGACAGCTTGAGGCTCTGTCTCAAAAAAAAAAAAAAAAAAGAGAATCGCTTAAGCCCAAGAGTTGGAGGTTTTTGTGAGCTGTGATGCCATGGCATTCTACCCAGGGTGACAGCTTGAGACTCTGTCTCAAAATAAATAAATAAATAAATAAAAATAAATCATTAAATCCAGCTCTATTCACATAGCATTCTTTTCTTTCCCTCAGTGGTCAACTTCAGGTGTCCTACCCATTCCTTTCCTATAGTCTGGTGGGTAATGGCACTGAAATCTACTTTCTCAAGATGTCCTATGATGTGGTTTCTATTTCTAAATCCCTATTAAATATTTCTTTCTGAGAAACTGGATTTGTTTGCCTCTTTCTTTTTTCTTTCCTTTTTTTTTTTTTTTTTTGAGACAGAGTCTTACTTTGTTATCTTTGGTAGAGTGCTACGGTGTCAGCTCACAGCAACCTCAGACTCTTGGGCTCAAGCAATTCTCTTGTCTCAGCCTCTTGAGTAGCTGGAACTATAGGTACCCACCACAACACTCAGCTGTTTTTTAGAGATAGAGGTCTTACTCTTATTCAGGTTGGTCTTGAACCTGTGAGCTCAGGCAATCCGCCTACCTTGCCTCCCAAAGTGCTAGGATTACAGGCATGAGCTTTGTGTGCCCCTTTCATTGGCCTCTTAGCTTTCTTTGATTTTGAGGTTACGTTTTCATAGCCCTGCTCACCTTGCAACAGTTACCAGGCACTCACTATAGCTATAGAAATCTCTACCTCCATGTTGCTAACAGCCTCCTTGGGGAGGGTGATACAGAATAAATTTCAAGTGTAGTACTTTTTAAAAAGAAATTCTGGCTGCTGTGGGAGTTTATGAAAAGAAAACTGTGATTAAAAACAAGTCCTGGCTTGGTGCCTGTAGCTCAAGTGGCTAAGGCGCCAGCCACATACACCAGAGCTGGTGGGTTCGAATCTAGCCCAGGCCTGCCAAACAACAATAACAATTACTGTGTTTCCCCGAAAATAAGACACTGTCTTATGTTTATTTTTTCTCAAGAAGACACACTAGGGCTTATTTTCAGGGGATGTTTTATTTTTATTAAGTATAATACAATAAGCTGCATTTATTCAAATACAGTTAAGTCATCTTCTTCTGGAACATCATCATAACTCTCTAGACCTGGAATTCCATCCTGAGTTTCTTGCAACTCCATTTCCTTTAGAAACATTGGCTCCCATCTTTCATGTTGAGCAATAGAGCTCTCATTAAATGAGCAGCTCTTATCCATGTAACCTGCTCGGAGTGCATTGGTAACAACACTGTCAGTGATTTTATTCCATGAATTCTTCACCCAAATGCAGAAGGCTAGGCTTCTTGTCATTCTAGGCTGATTTCTTATCATTCTATTTTTAGTGTAGTCGTTAATTTCCTTACGCAAATGGTCTTTGAATGGCTTGTTTGTTGCAAAATCAAGAGTCTGCAGATAGGCAGTCATTCCTGCAGGAATCATTGTTTGGTCTATTTTTCTCTCTGCAAGGAAGTTCTTCATGTCTTTAGCAGGGTGAGTGCTGGCTGAATCACAGACAAGCAGACCTCTTTGGCCACCTCACAAAACAAGTGGCAACATTAAATCAAGCCACTTCCTTATAACTGCTTGTGTGACCAGGCTTTTTCTGTTTCAAGAACATAAATGACAGAAACATGTTCAATCTTATCTTTCTTGCCCTTAGGGATGATAAGAAGTGTAGCTTTCTTTCCATCCAGATGAATGGCCAAAATACAGGTAACATGTGAACTTTGGTGACCAGTGGAGGGACCGTAGATTGAGG